AGAGAGAGAGAGAGAGACACGGGCGAGAGGGAGATAGATATGAGTGGAGGGGTGGGGCTGGGAGAGCTTATGACTTTATAATGTGTTTCTGCAAATGGTATTTGGGGCATAGTGAGACTTGATGTTACAGGAGTTTAAGAGGGGGAAAGAAAACAGAATGATCCTAAGTGATGAATTTTACCATTGCAAGAGGTAACACCATGTAACAGCATGTCAACTAAAGGTACCTCCAACAAGGACTGGTAAGCTGAATTTATAATATAATTCAACATGAAGGCTTCAGATTAAAAAAGAATGTTACACTGATAGGGAGACACAGGGTTCTTATTTGAAATCAGTGTTTTTATTTTAAGGTTCCCTGTAGACCTAATGATAGGACAAGATAGAGATGAAAAAGTAAGAAAGAACAAGAGCTAATTTATTTCAGAAATGAATGGACGATCTTAACATTTGAGGTTTTTTTGGACTTAAGACTTCTTAAGAAAACTATTGGCACCAACTTTACTGTAAATTCCCATAGGACCTTAAGTTTATTGCCCTTCAATCCAACTGTCTCTGAAACACACGACAATAAAGCCTTGCAGGGGGAAAAAGCTATCACTTTTGATGTCATAATTTTAATTTTTTCCCATATTACACAAATAAGTTTAACAGGAAACAGTCCTCTTAAAAATATATAATTAGGAAGCAAGTAAAAAATAGCAAGACAAAGAGAAAGTACACAATGGTGTATTTAGAAGAAATATTAATAAATTCATAAAATGAGAGTCGAAAGTAGAATTTGGTGTTTTCTCTAAGAAAGGAAAGATGATGTTGCAAGGAACTAATATAATTCTCGACAATAAGATGGTGCCTGAAAGTGATCCAGTTTCATTCTTTTGTGTGTTATCTGTCCAGTTTTCCCAACACTGTTTATGGAAGAGACTGTCTTTACGCCATTGTAAATTCTTGCTTCCTTTGTCATACATTAAATGACCATATATAAGGGTGGGTTTAATTTCTAGGCTCCCTATTCTGTTTCATTGATCTATGTGTCTGCTTTTATGCCAGTATCATGCTGTTTTGATTACCATAGCCTTATAATATAATTTGATATCAGTAGTGTGATATCTCCAACTTTGTTTTTCTTTCTCAAGATTGTTTTGGTAATTTGGGGTCATTTGTGGTTCCATATAATTTTAGGATTCGTTGTTCTAGTTCTGTGAAAAATGCCATTGATATTTTGATAGGGTTTGCATTGCTTTGAGTAGTTATGGACATTTTTAACTATGTTAATTCTATTCATGCATACAGTATATCCTTCCATTTATTTGTATCCTCTTCAGTTTCTTTTAGTGTCTTATAGTTTTCCAAGTACAGATCTTTTACCTCCTTGATTAAACTTTTATTCCTAGGTATTGCATTCTTTTTGATACAATTGTAAATGGGATTGTTTTCTTAATTTCTCCCTCTGATAGTTCATTATTGGTGTATAAAAATGCAACCAATTTCTGAATATTAATTTTGTATCCTGCTACTTTACTCAATTCATTTATTATTTCTAATAGTTTTTTTGGTGGATTCTTTAGGGTTTTCTATATACAGTATCATGTCATCTGCAAATAATGACAGTTATACTTTTTCTTTTCCAATTTGGATGCCTTTTATTTCTCTTGTTTGATTGCTGTGGCTAGGACTTCCAACACTGTGTTGAATAAAAGTGGTGAAAGTGGACATCTTTGTCTTTTTCCTGATCTTAAAGAAAACGCTCTCAGCGTTTCACCATTGAATACAATGCTAGCTGTGGGTTTGTCATATATGGTCTTTATTATGTTGAGGTATATTCCTTCTATTCCAATTTTGCTGAGAGTTTTTATTATAAATGGATGTTGGATTTTGTCAAATGCTTTTTATGCATCTGTTGATATGATCATATGATTTTTACTTTTCATTTTGTTTACGTGGTGTATCATGTTATCTGATTTGTGGACATTGAACCAGCCTTGCATCCCAGGAATAAATCCTACTTGATCATGGTGTACGGTCTTCTTAATGTACTGCTGAATTTGATTTGTTAAAATTTTTTTTTTTTTAAGATTTTTATTGGGGAATTGGGGGGATGGGAACAGTGCTGGGGAATTGGGGGAAGGGGAACAGACAAGTTGCTGTCGTTTTGTTCTTCAGTCTAGTTGTGGAGGGCGTTGCTTCACTGGCCCAAGTTGGCACCATCATTGCGCTCTTCTCTGGCGAGGCAGATCAGTCGCCGGCTTCTGGACGGCCGCTCACTGCGGCTGCTGGCCGCTCACGCTGGCTGCTGGCTACAGACGGTAGCCCATGGCAACCCACTGCCACAGGGACTGCAGCCCACGCCGTCGCCGGCAACTCACGGCAGC